ACCCGGCCTCCCTAATCTTACTGAAGGTTTTGTTTTGTTTCTCGTTACTCAGGACATGTGGGGTAACTTACACTATAACAGAAACTGGATAATTTCTACAACATCACATTTCTTTCTTGTCATTAGCTTATTTTGTCTGAACTCAAAAGGTTATACACTTTATTTTCTTTTGAATATTTTTACTTTCCATGTCAGTTGAAGCCTCTTAATATACTGTAATACCAGAAGTATGTGGACATCTCTATCCATCCATCCATTTTCTGTAACTGCATGTCCTATGAAGGGTCACAGTGGGTCTGGAGCCTATGGGTGTAAGGCAGGAAACAACCCAAGATGGGGGGGCCGACCCATCGCAGGACACATTCACACACCATTCACTCACAGACCACTCAATCACAGACCACTCAATCACACACCACTTACTCACACACTACTCACTCACACATCATTCACTCACAAACCAGCACTCACAACACCATTCACTCACTCACACTTCATTCACTCAGACAGACACACACACTATTCACTCAGACAGGCACACCTATAGGCATTTTGACACTGTGCACATCTCTTGTTATTAGGTAAACTGGTAAATTAAGCCACAACCATGGCTGACACTGGTGTATAATTAAGCAAAGAGCCGCATCCTCCCCATCAACAAACACTGGCAAAAGAATGTGTGGTTGTACAGAAGAGATAAGTGACTGTTAACATGGTACCACCATAAGATGCCTTCGTTCCAACTAATCAGTGCACCGAATTAATGCCCCACAGACTGAGCCAGGTAAACTACAAGTGTCGTGATTGCAAAGTAGAAACATCCTGGAGTTCAGTTCTTAAGTGGTAGGGCACACAAGCGCACAGAAAGGGACCTGATCACCCAGCAGCAATCCCAAACCTGATTGGTAACAAGACCCCCCAGCAATGAAGAGCCTTGCAAGCGGAGTACAGAGGCTCTGTATTAATACCCATGGGTTTAGAGAGAAACATTGGAAAAACTGGAGTCCACATATCTTCTGAAAGCTTCTGTACGTTGTTTAGATGCAAAACTCATCTGACAAATCAACTTGAGGAGGTCACTTATTATCTATAATTTTTAAATAATGTTTGGCTTTTCAACATAGTTTGATTTATAAAATCCAATTATATGTGCAAGATGAAATTCAAATAATCTAGAATGCAACATAAATTTATTTACGAATGCTGTAAAGGAAAGGACGAGTGTGCTAATGTTTGTGGAAACAATGTGTAAGACATTAAACCAGAATGACAGCTAACCAGAGGAGAGTGAGGAACTGGGACACAACTAAAACAAAAATTACAATGGGAGCCTCGCACCTACGCTGCTTGCCCCTAAAAATACCAACTGTGCGGTCTATTCTTCCATCAGGCGTTTAAGATGAAAAAAGGCGCGTAAAATATTATGCGCTTTTATATACGCGCATAAAATAATCTACCCCGGTGAAAATAATAACTATGTAACTATAAAATTTAAAACGACACGAATCATTATAAATAACATTAATTGTCTATATTAGCCAAATGATTAAAAGATAAATACTGAAGATTTAGAAATTTTTTAAATTTATCAACTTACCAGTTCTCGCTCATCAAACATGCTTTTTTCATTCCCCAAACACTCCATTGTTTCGGCAGACTTGGGATCCACTATTAAAATGTTCTGACTATTAGGTCTGACAAACTTACAATCACTCTTCCTGGAGTCAGCCGTCATATACACCTCGTAGTTGTGCATATTATGTAAAGTCCCTGTACCTCCGGCGTCTGAGTAAAGTGTTGGATAATACGGTATAACTGGCAGATTGGACTGATAAAAGATGCGTGATTGTCTCCATCTATAGATTTTCACGGATATAATCACGACTAAAGATAAAATAAAGAGGAAGGAAACTACAGCCAAAGCCAGTACTAAATAAAAGGTCAAGTTGTCATTGTAATCCTTGTCGTGAGTATTGTCACTGAATTCCGAGAG